ATAATGCCATTACTACTGTTTGAAATATACAATAGATTGCTTTTAGCTGTGATGTCTCACCACGTTCATTAAAACTTTAAATCTTTTTTAACTATTTTTTTATTAACTAATATAACTTTAACATGTAGAAGTAGCAATAAAACAGTAGTTTTCTTAAATAAGGCAAAGGTATCCAAATAAAAGGAAAAAACCTAATAAATAATAAGTACCGATAATTATTAACTACACTATGCATTCCGTCCTAAGATAAAAAGGTGACAACTAAAAATGAATATTTAAATTATCAAGTACCTTTCAGTATGACACTTGATTGTGCCAAAATGATTTATAATGCAGCCAATCCGATTGAAACATCGATTCTATGTTCTACATTACAAGGCTTAATTTCTTTTGAAATATTTCATTGTAGCTCTTATCGGTCGCCCACGAATCGATCGTCTTTTTTTATTTGACTTTGTAATTACGGATACAGCGTTGGATATCAATTTAGTTGTGTTTTAGCGGCACTTGGTTTAACAGGTAGCTAAAAATACCTCAATTAGTTTAAGTGTCTTGTTTTTAGATTTATATCCCAAACTATATTTATTAATAATTTGTAATAGTCAACATTCGAAAGGGGTCACAGATTTTTTAAGGAAAAAAGTCCAGTGTTATTTTTGGGAATGTACAATCGCGAAATTAATTTTAGTGTTACTTTTAATGATTTCTTTCTGTGTTTTGAACGCAAAATAACTGTGTATTTCTATGTCCCTTAATCATGATATTAGAAGCTCTCTCTAATTGATATATATTTTTAATTTTATGTCTATACCATATAATTTTTTTTTGTAGGAAGTTGCACAATATAGTAAAAATATTTACGGACAAATAAAATGAAAACCTCCTTCTTAAGTGACCATTGTAATGTATTCTCTTATGATTATTTAATTACACACATTGTTTTCTTAACAGCTATTTATTCTTGAATTCCTTGAAATATTAGATGTAGTATACTTAGATGTATACATATATATATATATATAGTGTACCAGTATACCTAAAGTGCTATCATATATATATATATATGAGACTGCTTAGAATCTGACTAAATTTGTTACCCGTACGTATTTGCATGTCCAACTTTACAAACATTTTGCTTACCCCAGTCTCATCCATTTCCATCCATTGAAAATAAATAAGTCTATTCATTCCCGAGATTAAACGCTCATGTTTAAAAAGAAAAATAACACCGACTCTGGCGCAGCGGTAGATTGCATCTGTGCAACGGCAGGACTATCAATCATGCTTTATCGTTCTTTTGCTGGACGCTACTGATTAAATTATTCCATGGAGGTGACTTAATGAAATAGGCTAGGATTGGTTCACACTTGGCTTATACACTGTAACATTTTTAAGTTGGAGAGCATTGGAAAAAACCTGGAATTATGGAACAGAATGCAGCAACAGCTTCTTACGACGTTAGTTTGAATTTGGTTGCCAGTGACTTTAGGATTTTTGAAGCTAAATGTGCAATTTAAAAAAAACGAGGGTTTTAAAAGTAGTTCTATCAGATTTCTTTTTTGCTCCGAAGAGCGAAGAGCCAGCAGGGCAACCGGCAGACACGCCCACCCTGCTGGACCAGGCCTTGCCCGAGAGCCGATGAACGACTGCCTCTTCTGCTAGAATATTGGCCGCTGGCGATAATCCTCTCCTCCAAGAGGACAAGGAGGAAACAGTACCATCGCCAGCGTTTCCAGGGTGCACCACGAGGAGGTTTTCTAGCCCAGCACCCCAAACCCTATACTAACCCGACGGAGGGACTGTCCGTCAGACTGGTTGGTTTGGGCTACTGTCCAAAACCTCATTTCTAAGGAGAGGCCTATGTCCAGGAGTGGCCAATAAAAAAAAAGCTGTTGATGTGATGTGATATTAAATATTTTTTGTTTTAGATTATTATACCTTCACCTACCCTTTCCACGATATAATTAAACAACTGTATAAAGTTTTTTGCAAAATAATGAACGAGCAGAATCTATAAACCTTAAAAAAAAAAAAAAAAAAAATCTAATCATAATATGTAAAATAATGTAATATTATATAAACTAAGAAATCATATTCGAAGTACGTAACACGCAGTCTTTGTACCTGTGCCTATTCAACAAGGCAGTTCATTTGTTAAATGTAAATCAAATATATTATATTTAAAGTAAGGTAATACAAGATAATTACAATTATAATATATAATTACATGGCAACATTAGTTACCGACAACAAGACAGAAGTAGCTAAAACTTTTTAAATTGTTACACATAGCGCTACACGCATGTGACATTCGGAAAAGAACATGATGATAATTATAAATGGAATGAAATAAATGACCTGTTCTATCCCAAAAGATATCTGGTGAATCAACAAGCAGAAAAGAAAACAAGTCTACGCTAATAGTTCTGATTACTATTGAGAAACATATACAATGTCTCAAGTCGTTCCTGTTTGAGAACGATAATTCAAGTTTTTATGTTAACCAGTTGATTATTTGAGATATTTGATCTAGTTTCGAACACTAATCACTCTTGGAACTTGAAAATTCAATCGTCTAACGGTCCACTGTCCAATCTAGCTATAAATTACTCCTCGGTGCGCTTGTTTCTTCAAGTTACGAACACGCAAAGTCACAATTGTGAGCAACATCGCACGTCATAGCTGCTGACCAATAAATATGACATACATTGTTAATTAATAGGCTACATTATATTAATAGTGGGTTTGGTAAGGCCCTTGTGGTTCTGTATATCCTTAAATATGTTCTATTACCGAACTTGAACTCTTTTCATAATAAAACGTTCGTTAGTTTCTAAACAGTGGTTTATATTGATGATTAGTATAATTTCATTTTGAGAATATTGTAGTAATTTAAAAAGGTTTACAAAGTTGGTTCAAACCAACTTTTGAAAAGGAATAGGTTCACAATTCGACCTATTTTTTTGTGTGTGTATGTTACCCGATATCTTCGGCAATGGTGAACCGTTTTTTTTTTAAATTGCTTTTGTTTTTGTTCAGGTTCATCAACAGCCTTTAACAGGCCACTGCTGGACATAAGCCTCTCCTTAGAAGAGTTGATTAGGTTTGATTAACAGAACTGGTTTAGGTTGATTATATTTAAATTTGAAGTAAAATATTAATACCTTTAAGGATTATAAATTGAAGGATGAAACAGCTTACTACAATTTATCATGATTTCAGAGCATTGAAGTCGTTTATACGTTTTTTAAAGTTAGTTTTAAACAGAGTAGAGTGAAGAAAGAATCTGAATCTTACTCTTCGTAAAACATAAAATATTTAATTAAATATTCTAGGTGCACTTAAATTTATCTAATTTTATTAAAATTCAATATTTCCATATCTAGACATTACAGTCAAAAACATTGAACAGTATAGTAAAAATCTAAAGCGATTTTTTAAATTCGATGGACCCCTAAAACTTACATACATATAAATTACATATAAATATACAAAGTGAAGTCGTTCATCTCACAAATAAGGGAGTCACAACTGACCACCTTTTAATATACTATGTACCAATTAGAATGCTTCTTGTCTTACCAACGTACGGCTCGACACCACAATATTGATTAACTCCATTTCTACATAATTGGATACGGTTATTAATTAGTTCCCTTTGAATATATTAATATTTATAGGTTAATTTCTATAGGAAAAATTGTGTGGAGGTTTTAGAAACGGGTAATCTTAAAAATGTGCATGTGTTTGTCCATTTCCTTTAACCATAAATGCAATGACAAATCGAGTACACCTTTTTATGTCCGATCATAAACAAATCAAATTTCTCTATTAAAACAACGATTAGTTTCTGGGTTTCTGTTAAAGATAAATTAATTCTTTATTCAGTTATCAGTTGTATATTAAAAGTCGAACACCGGTTGTATACTTTAAAAATTAGTTCTTACTTTTTTTAAATTTAACTGAACTAAACAAAATCAAACTAAAATAGAAAGGAAAGAAGTGTTCCATTATTTGAAAATCTGTTTGATTAGTCAAAACAAAAGTGCCTTCTCCATCTCTCCATCATCAGATAAGTTTCAAGACACCAAAGCAATAGTTTGAATAATACGAATCAGGAATCCGTGTGGGGACGGATTAAGAATACGAAGTTTCACCATCTCTATTCATCAGGTGGGTGTCGTAAGAGCCGACTGAAGCAACAAAGTACGCAACAGCACTGCAAAGAGAAGGAAAATTTGACATAATCCCTACACCAAGCTGTCTGGCCAAAGTGGTATAGTAGGCCAAAACCTCCCTTCTAAGGCTGTGTAAGATGATGATGAGTTAGAAGAAGGTACAAATAACAAACAACGAGAAAAACTCCAGTTAACAAAAGAATTGATGATCCTGATTGCGTTGAAAAAACGTTAACAAGAACAGTACCGAAATATCCCTTAGGTTATTTCAGATCAATTTATTTAGCTAAATTAACCGAAGCACATCGCATTTGCATTCGATTTCCATAACGCGGTGCAGGCGTATCGGTTGGCCATACGTCACTGTACACAGGAGATATAGTCAGTACGGACTACTTGATCGATTGTGTGATTCTGCAAACGAGAAAAGAAAGATATGGAAACGATAATAATACGGGTTAAACGTGATATTTAGCAGCTGGAAACGGTTGTTAATATATAAGTATATGTATATATATATATATATCATAATAACAGTTTAATATTTCATTAAAATTATATGATGCCCTTACCAAATGATATTTATATCATCATCATCAACAGCCTTATTGTTACAGTTACAGTTACGATTTATCTTTGCAGAATATGGTGTAGTCTGTCAACACTTTTTGCCACATTATTTGGTAGTATTTTATGAGACTTCGTTGTGTTTTTTACATTCTTTGGTATAATACCATCAGGATAAATAAAGATGTTAACATTAGATAGTCATCACTTTTTCTATGATATTCTATTGGTTGAGGAAAAAAAAAGACAAATACAATGCGATACAAAGTAGCGGTTTGCTCAAAACTTTTATAATGATTTCTTCTAATGACCAATGTGTCTACTGAAACAGTAATTGCAATTATTATAGAAGAAAGTTTGTAATCTTGAGAAATGTGCGGTGCGACAAAAATTACTTCTTTAACGACTATTTGTTGTAGGTAATTTCTCACTGTCTTTTGTTAAAAAAGTACAACAAATAGTGATCATGATATAAAGACAGCTTGAGATGAAACTGGTACTTAAATTAGACTCAGTTAAGACTGCTTGAGAACAAAATAGATATTATTTTTATGTTATGTAACATGACCAAATTAAATAATCATCATTAAACTTATATATAACTAAGGTTTAAGAAAAGTATTCTACATAGTTATTTTTTATCGCGCCAATATCGTTTCGTCATAAACAACGCGCGTTCCTTCATTATCGAAGTACAGATGAGACGAGAGGTTTTTTGCCAACGTCGTGATTTATCCAAAGGAAATTGTCAGACAACTAATGGCTCTTTGTTTATTGATTTATATGTTGCAATATTCGGTAGCGAGAAGGGTCGATATAACATCGTTCCTCGTTTTTTTGCCCCGCCTGATTGAGCTACTGCACAACCCGCCCATGCGTAGATGGCTATTTCGATCTCATATAAAGTTACTTGTATCGTTTTTTCTTATTTAGTCGCATAATCTAAATTACAGGGTTCGTAGATTGGTGTGAATTAGCGAGTAAAAATTTAATGGGAACGATTCTAGAATGTAACTCTATTAAGATTTTTTATGAGATCGAATAATTTTGTACAGGAAATTGTCTTAGAATTAATTAAAAGTTTTAATGTGTTTTATAAAAAGCTATAAAACGTTACAAAGGACCGTTGTGCACACAATTTCAAAGTGATATACAGGTTGAGCGATAAAAAATGTAGTAAATATAAACAGATGCAGAACTTACTTCTATTTAAATAAAAAAACATTTGGGAATCTGTTCTAGAAATACAAGTTTAGTATGTATATGTCGAACAGCAGCGAGTCAAGCAATAAATAAAACTTCGTAAATACATAATAATATTAAGATTTTCCCCTGGGCTGAAAGTAGTAAGCTATGTGCTAACAGGATTAAAAACCCTCCGGTAGCATCAGTGGTATTGCGTGCGATCGGTGATCGGTTACAGCTTATTAATGCATCAATTATAAATAACTAGCCTTTGCAAACAGCTTTGCCCGTGTGTATGTCGGTTATCGCGGTAAACAATACCTTAGTTCCTTCCTCTAGAATCTAAAATCGGTTCAGCAGTTACTTTCGCATTTATAAGACTAGTAGAGATTTAGCTTCATAAAATTAACTAAACATAGTGATTTAATTCCCTGCACTTTTCATAATACTAATAGGTGTTTGTCTGATGCCAACCTCTTTTTGGAATGTAATCGTTTTCCAATTAAGAAGAATAAGACAAATTAGGGCAAAGAAATCTAATAGGCCGTATACCCAAAGGCCAATTCACGTAATAAAAGTTTGGTCACAATACAGTTACGATTCGATCTCACAACTGTCATAAAAGGTATTTTCGTTGTAAAATATTAAAGTAATGCTAAGACTAGTAGATTACCAATTGAATTTTCAGTTACAATACGATATAATCACATTACAGTCAACGTTGGATGTTTAATATATACTACGAAAGTGCCTTTTATGACAGTTGTGAGATCTAAAGTTGATCTGAACTGAATTGAGGCCCAACTTTTATTACGAGAATTGACCTTCAGGTATACTGAGGCTAAAGTTGCTCAAAGATTTTGTAGCTGTATGTCGATCTTGTGATTAGACAGGCCACTAGGATGAGAACATCAAATTCCCAACTGTACTTAATATTTGTAGTAAATTATATAGCAAATAAATTACAGCTTTTACCTCACGACTGCCTAATAAATAGTTGAGCTGGAGAATCAAAGGTTTCACTTCTTTAAATAATAATAATAATATTCTACCACATTCACACAACTCCATCTAGTTCCAAACTAAACAGAGCTTGTACTATGGGTACTAGACAACTGATATAAATACATATTTACTTTTTTTTTGTAAATACATGTACACACATATATTTACACACACACACACCACACACATACACACCTACATATTAAACATACACCCAGACCAAATCAAACATTAAATTGATTTCTATTTTGTACTTATAATAATATTACATATAGATTTTGATTTAAGCTAATTATTCTACAAAATATTGGAGGGTAGCGATAAAACTTTCAATGTATTCGAATTTATATTAATTGCTCGATTTTATATGAACTTACATAACATTACCTGTTTATAGACATACATAAAAGCTTTCTCTAACTGTCATGACTAATGATGGCCGTCATCATCATCAATTAGTTTTTTGAAGTCCACGGCTTAGGTAATGTACATAAGACCAACCGGTCCTCCGCCTTCCGCTTTAAGCCCATCCCCGCTACTGTCACGGGGTCGTTAATTCCTCTGGACGGAGTCTGGGGGTTGAAGTTAAAATAATGATTACGAACTTTATTTTCTGACTATGTCAATTTAGGATATATTATCATGTACGTGTACTGCTTATGCAGTATTAAGATACACAGTAAAACGTCATCAAACTTTAGCCATAATAAAAAAAAAAAAAAAAAAAAAAAAAATTTAACTGAAATAATTGAGTCTTTTGTTCTTTGTTATTTTGAAAAAGACAACTCCCGCATTAGGGATATATCCTGTGTCATGGGGGACTTCACAAACATACATAAAACGGACACAAAGAACACCCAGACACAGAACAACAACTATCTGAAAGATCTTTTACTGTAATGAATTAGAACAAGCAAATTATTATTAAAACATAAAATAACCTTCGTTTAAAGAAACGATAACAACAAACATCCCTATAAAGTACTGCATACGAGTGGTCAACGAAACTTTTTACTTAAAAACTCTAAACCACGATTTAAAACATTTCGTAGGTATATTCAAATTGAATGTTTTGGTGACCACAAATTGCTTCACCGTCCAAATGATCGTTTAGAGAAGGAATGACGATATGGTCTACAATTTGTTCTTCACGCTTACCGTTTAGGGGGCCATCAGATGGAGAACAGTTTTATTATTTTTAAGCTGCGGTAAAGTTAAAAGAATGGGAATTAATGAGTGCGTGTACTTGTAAATGTATATAATATAATCTAGGGTTAACCTCTAAACTTATGAATCAACCCAAAAACCAATGTCAAAATAACGATTCGAAATGTTAGCTTAGAGTCCGCCGGAAGATTAAATTAAGAACAAATGTTATAACCTGAATAAAAATAAAACAAAAATGTATTTATATTTTTTATATGTCTACTGATTTTATCGGTCATTGGTTTTTTAGAACACCTTGCCTGATGTTAATAATGCTGTTCTTGAAATTGATTGAGTACTAAAACTGTAAAAAAAATGAATAAAAATAACGTTATTCCTTAAAATCGCAACTCCAAGACAGTATAACTACAAGAGTATATGTCTCCACATAAAACAAACTATTGTGTTTCCTTAGTCAGCTGTTTTAAAGCTAGCTTCAAAACATTAAATGAAAAATGTAAGGTTTACATTTTCTTTTATGAATACCGAAGGAGACAAGTCGCATCGCTCGTGCGCCCACTATAACCACGCCTAATGTCACGTAATGATTGCTTCGTAACGCATGTTAGGCTGCTCACATACTCACGATTAGTGTGATCTCTGTTAACGGTCGTACATGCGACAAAAAGTGTTAATCTTCAGTCGTGTAACTAGATAATAAATAACACCACCTTGCACTTTATTTTGTTTTGATATGTGTGTATGTATATATAAATTAGTTGATTGAGTGCTTGGTTTAGGGTACGAAAAGATGTGTTTTATCAGATTGTTAAAACATGGCTAATTTTATATAAATGAGACTTAATCCGTACTTAGCTATATTGCCCATATTTTAGAGTCCTTCGGTATTGTAATGTCTATGTGTCTTTATGTATTGTAAATTGTGTGACATTAAAAGTGAAAGCTACTAAACTGCAATCCTGAGGTTTCCTCAGGATTGCAGTCGCATACGCTTCCACTGCATAACCAAAAAGCAGTCAAATTGATTTGACCAAAGAGTGTGCCATACTAGAACTGACTGTACGACGATACGCAAGATGTCAGATTTTACACATAACTATGCGACTTCTATACTTCGCGCTCGCACGTTTTTTCTTTAATTCTGATTTTGATAAAAAAAAATTTTTTTTACTACTTGTTTAAATTAATAAATGCTAACTTTTATTTTCTTTCGCAGGAGAAACCTCACAAATGCAGTCTTTGTTCCAAGTCATTCCCAACACCAGGAGACTTGAAGTCCCACATGTATGTTCACAGCGGTTCATGGCCATACAAATGTCACATATGTTCTCGAGGATTTTCCAAGCACACCAATCTCAAGAATCATTTGTTCTTGCATACTGGTAATTATTATTTTGTTTTACAAATAGAAAAATAATTATATCTAATACGAGTAAAATAATAAAAGAGTTATCAAGCCGTTATTTTTCTAAAGAAACAAAAGAGTAGAGTCAAAAAAAATATATAATTAATTGATTTTAAAAACGCTCAAATCAATAAAAACAAAAAAAGAATTAACAAGAAAGTTAGTAAGTTCGAAATTATTCTTATTCATTTCATTTTACTTGTACCTACTTACTGTGTTTCCCGTGCCAGTAGCCGATAGACTGTCAGTAATATCTTAGAGAAATAGTTCTTTTAATTATTAGCCATACATTTCTGTTTCTCAAAGGTTATTTAAGAGGATGCTCTAATAAAATCGTACATGTTGGTGTAACACACAACTGGAAGCAGTACCTACCGATTCGCAATATGACCGTGCCAAAAGAGTAACTATTTTAATGACTGATTTCCATTGTTACAGCTAAACATCAAAGGAACAGCGCAAGAGATGCCACTTGAAGTGTATATCATTTAAACTGATCAACAATTATTTACATTTATTTAAGACAAATTGTCTGACAAATTATAAAAAGTGTGATATTAGATTAATTATTTTTAAGTGTTATTTTTTATAATGTTAAGTGGTATTTATGATATGCTTAAATATGAATACAATAATTTGAGGAATCGTTTTCAAATGTTGCTTATTTGACTACTAAATATTAAGTGCATTACAAAAGCTTTGTTTGATTATTATTTTTTATTAAAAATGAAAATATAACGAATTCAGTTAAAAACAAGCCCACGTTACTATTATTAAAGAACAAAGGCTGCACTTATGTGAGTAATTCAGACCTTTTGACCCAGAGGGAATGAACCGACCTGTCGCATTTGTGTCAGACGGGGCTTTTCACGTAAACCACGAACCCGTAAGTGTTATAATATAACCTACCCTTAAACATGATGTTTGAAAAAATTTAATAACCGTTTCTCAGTGATTTATATTTTCTCAGTTTTATGTTTACTTTAGTGTAAAATCTGTACAAACTAAACTCATGGTTTTGACTCCCGCTCCCTCCTCAAACCATTAAATAAGTGATTTCAAATTTAGTAGTTTAGTAGTTTTTAGTAGTTTCGTTAGTCGATGTTTAGGTGTTTCAGTACTTAAATTAATAGGGGGAAGTGTTTAAAAGACATATTAATAAAAATATTAGTCGTATCACTTTTTGTTTTTTATGTAAAAATAATTATTTTGATAGGTGTTTATTATTTCAACTCTATTTAATACTATCAATGTAAAAATCAAGATAACTCTATCCTAATTTCTAAAGAAAATTTTGATATTCGAAATTCACGAACTCTTTGAACACGAACTTATTGATCTTCTTAGTTGGTTAAGGTGATTAATTATTCTACATAATGTTATGTAGATTTTAGGTTTTTTTTGTAAATATATCTTAAGACTATACCTATAATTATACCTACATTACGTACGTATATTGTGATTACAATTCCGTCCATTGTACATACAAACTTTATCATTTACAGCAACGAATTATTAAATTATGAATACTATTTATATTTTATACATAAGAATTTCCTTAGATAATAAATAAATATATATATAAATTACATTTGAATTTTATTCAATTATTATCCTTTTGTGTTTTTTCCGTGTAGTGACGGATTAAGAATACGGAATGTCACTACCCCAATTCATCCCGTGGGTGTCGTAAGATCCGACTAAGGGCGCAAAACAAAGCATGACACCAGCACTGCAAGAAGACGGAAAACTTGACACAAACCCTATACCAACCCGCCTGGCCAGCGTGGTATAGTAGGCCAAAACCTTCTTTCTAAGGAGAGGCTTATACAAACAGAACTAAAATTATGATGAGTTTTAATAATTTTTATATTGTGTCAGTCTCTACCTTTCTGCGCAAATACAGTTACAGGCACTGTTTTAAACCGTAAGTGTTTCCGAGGTCCTGAGTTTAAATCTTGGGTCACTCGAAGCGCAATTGGAGTTTTATGCGTCCGATGGTTAGGGTTGTGGCCATACAGTCATACAGATTGTATTAATATTTTAAATTTTAACACAACTAATACATTTGCAAATAAATTATGTTATATGGGACCATAACGGATACTTAGTGTTTTTAATATCAAATAACATTTGGATATCATAAGTATGACTGAAAGTAACGTCAATATTTTTGTATATCCAGAAGTACTTGGTGCCAGTACTGATTGGTTGTAAAATCCATCATACAACAGGGATTAATATCACTACTACTATCATCATTCAAACAAAACATGCCGGATTTAGGTATAGTTCAAAACTAATAACAACTTTAAAGATATCACACCCGGCAGTCTGATCTTACACCAGAGCCTGTGATATGGTAACGAGATTGCTGAAAATACATAACTAAGCCAAATTATTATAAATTGGATAAGAAGAAATCGATGAAAATGGGTTTAATGAGTGTCATGAATTAGATTTTCTAATCGTTTTCATTTATTGTCATAGTAGTAGCACGGAATATGGGTACAATTGTGCGGTCGGCTTATGGAGAACTAGACATTTAACTACTCTAGTAGAAGCATTATTGTTATTCATAGGTTTTTTTCAACTTTCATTCATTTTAAAAAGATCTTTTTTTTTTAATTTAAAGACAACTCTCGCATTAGGAATATATCCTGTGTCGCGGAAGACTTTACAAACATACTTGAAACGGACACAAAAAACAACCAGATTCAGAGCAACAATTTGTGGATCACACAAAGTGTCGTTCCATGTGGGGTTTGAACCCACAACACTCGGTGTAGTAGGAAGCGGCGTGGCGACCGCTTAAACCACTATATTTGCAGTCTGTATATTTAATAAGAGCACCAAACTTCCCAGACCATTTGAATTTCGACCGAATTCACAATAAATTTCTTTGATGTGACACGGTCAGATAGAGAATTCTAAGTACTGTATTTAGACACACACTTTTAGATACACAACATAAAATTCCCTAAACTTAGGGGGCCAATGAATAACCAAAACAGTTATTCGAACATTCGATTACACAGTTACCAATGCAATGATTGCAAACAGTAAATATGTCATACTGATCGACGCCCATAGAATATGAATATTTACTCGCGTGGCCGGATATTGTCAGCATAAAGTATAATCTTTATTACCAACCAGAAATATTTATTACTATTTATCAGAAACTAAACAAAATACCTTTCAATAAAATCTAACAATAAATAAGATCGAACATTTCCAGTCAATGAAATGTTGGTACGGCTTTTATCGAGCCAGAGCATGTCCCATCCCACAACCATCGGGGAACTGCAGCAACAATTAAATCTTAATACACTCCAGTGAAGTTGTTTTATGCAAATAAGTGCAAGGCTTGCGTGTATACGCCTACGAGCATTCTAAATATAAATAGTTTTAAATTGCTATTAGTTTTGCTTCCACGCTACTTAACATGGAATTTGCGAGACCTATGGTATAGCAAGTGACGACGCTATTGAATTATATTCCAATCCGTAGGTCAATCATTTTCCATTTTGAAATTATTGATTTTAAATACCTAATGTGACGTCAAAACTAAGTTGAACATGATAATTCACTATTAATTAACTTTGTGTAATGTATTCTTCTGACCTTAAATTTCCACCTAGACACAGCCTATTGAAATTGGTCTACGAAAAAAATCGTTTAACATACATCCAATTTTTTTTAAAAACCCTCCTTCTTTTGATATAGTTTAAGCGATGGCGTATCAAGTGATAATTTCATTCATCGTCATTCTTATATCGTTCATGAACGGAATGAAACTTGGATTGGCATATTCGGCATACGCTCACAAATAAGGTGTTAAATGAAATGATCAGTAAAGGACAATGGCAGGTCCCCATACATAATTTTATTTGAACTGAAATGTTAGCGTTTAAATATCAAAAAATCCTTAACACTTAAAAATTTATTCTTGACCATTCTCATATCAAAATTACTTGCGAAAGAAGTCTAGGAAAAAAGATATTGGATTTTGAATGTTTGAGGTTAAGTACTAACATATTGTTAATGTTTTGTTTGAAACTAGATGGCGTTGTGTGTCAGATAGCCGAAAATATTATTTTCATTATTATTACAGTATATGAAATAAAAAAAATAAAAGCATAACATCTATTCGAGTTTAACACTAAATTAAACAAAAATAAAATAACAAACGTGGTGAGTCCGGAACTTGACAGGATCTAAACCACAGATTAAGAGATATATGTACTAAACGACGACGTATCGACAATTTGAAAATATCGATGTATGTCTATTTATGTGCCGTTATCAATGACAATGTATTTTTCTCATCACACTGTGTAGTGGAAAATAACGTAACTATATTCTATTTCTTTAGTGTGTTTAAAATCGTTTAAAGAGAGTCAAAAATATTTTAAATCATTTCTAATTATGTTGATTCAGTCACTCTACCGTACGAGTGAAGACGTGGGCAGAAGCAAATTCATAATCATAATAGTGAACCTTCGGTAAATATTTCAGCCAAAGCTATAAGAATCGATTATCGATAAATTGTTCCATAATATAATATTGCCACCACGCATCCCTAGTCAGTTATACGTGATGGCGACTCTGACATTACGTACTTAGGTCAAATAAAATCTTCAAAAATATCTTATCTCTTATAAGACTTATACAACACATGGTGGTGTAATGATAAATCATAGAAAATTTTTGGATTAAGTTTACTGTGACCCGATTTTTTAAACGCTTAAGTTTTAGGTAAATATGTTTCTGCCATTGTTCTTTGTGCATCAATAAAAAACGTGAAGATCACGACAATGACAATAGTTACATTAAAATTACAGAGATCAGATAAGTACAAGTCTGATTAGCGCACAGAGGGTTCCATATACACATATAAACTTGTAGGTAAATGTTCATCCATCCGGAAGTTGATTCCCGGAGATGTTTGTCAAAGCGAAGGTAAAAAAATGGAGATTCTAGCGATAAGAGCTTAAATTTCAAACAGTATAAAATATAAGAATATAAAACCAACTATTAACCATCTTATGCATACCTACTGTATTTAAACAGTTATTCTAATATTGTACGAATAGAATTACATTCAAAATACCAAAAGTGCATTTTCTACTTTATAATATTTGTTGCACAATAAAAACAAAAATGAAATGGAACTTTGTATCAATTTATTTAATTTATTATAAATTAACTTCTGAGTTTAAATGATTTAGTTAATGATTTGGTTAGAAATATATTTTGTAATTAATTTTAATGTGGCAGAGGTAATGAGTGTCTAATGTGTTTGACGGGCCTGTTGGTCTAGTGGTTAGTGACCCTGACTGCTAAACCGGAGGTCGTGGGTTCGATTCCCACCCAGGACAAATATTGTGTGATGAACACGGTCATTTTTTCTGTGTCTGGGTGTAATTTATCTATAATATGTATGTATTTAGAAATATATTACTATGTATAC